GTTCTTCTGTTCTAAATCCTCTTTATTTTTTCTTGGCTCCTCTCCTTCCTTCTACCTGCACCCTTGAGGCCCAATGTTGAACTCTTTTCTCTTTTTCTCTAATTTCCTTCTTTCATGTACTAATCTACATTATTATTTCAACTATCACCTTAGCCTGAAACTAATATAATACTGTAAATCAACTATACCTCAATTAAAAAAAAAAACAACTACCACCTTTGCTAATGACTCTAAAATCTTCATTTCCGGCCCAGGCCTCTCACTCAAACTCAGTTCTCTAACTGCCTATAGGAAGGACACTTCTGCATCAAAGCCCTATTATTGTAAACTCAAACTGAAAATATCTAAAATTAAACTTATTATCTTCCCTCCCATAATTCTTCATTCCGTCATTTCTCATAATGGCAATTTCATTCTCCTTTTTCCTAAGTTTAAGACCCTACTTATTTCTAACCTGTGATTCTCTTTCATTCTCCTTATTCAGTTAGTTACCAAGTTCTATTGATTCTTCCCTTGTAGTGACTCTACTTCTGTCCAGACTCATTGTTACTCCCTGAAACCTAATTACAGATCTTCACAGATAACTTAGCTCCCATTTAGCATTATTCTGGAACTCTTGACCAATGCCATGAAATGAGAAATCAAAATAAGAGGTATAAATATTGGCAAGGGAAAGACAAAACTGTCATTATTTCCAGCTAATATGAAAATCCAAAAGAATCAAATTACAAGTTATTAAACAAAACAGGAATGTTTACATACAAGATGGCCATTTATAAAATATAATATCAACATCAATAACTTTCCTAAATATAAGCAATAAGTAAGCAGGAAACGTTATAAAAAGAAATTGCATTCACAATAGTAACAAAAGCTATAAAATACATAAGAATTTAGGCAGTGATCTCTTACATAGGAGAGGAGGGGGAAAAAAGGACTAAGCATAAAAGAAAATTTTGATTGGACATCATAAAAATTAAAAACTTCTGCTATTTCATTTAAGAAAATGAAAGGCAAGCCACAGAGTGGGAGAAAATACTCATAATACATATGTCTGATAGAGGATTTGTATCCAGAACATTTAAATAACTCACAACTCTAAATAAGAAAAACAACCTAATAGCAAAATAGACAAAAGATCTGAACAGACACTTCACCAGGAAAGACACATGAATAGCAGTTAAGTAAATGAAAAGCTGCTCAAATCATTAGCTTTGTGAAATACCACTATACATACCCACTAGAATTGCTAAATTAAAAAGACAATACTAAGTGATGGTGAAGATGTGGAGTCATTGCAACTCTCATATATTAGAATTTTCAGTGGTACAACCACTTTGGTGTACTCTTTGATAGTTTCTTATAATGTTAAATATACAAGTTTAAACATACACCTACTCAATGACCCAACAATTCCAGTCCTAGGTATCTTTCAAGAGAAATGAAAACATATGTCCAGAAAAAGACCGATGAAAGAAATGTTCAAATACTGAGGTATGAGGAAGTCATTCTGGCTTATACACAAGTTAACTTGAATTTTATGCTAACTAAAACAGCCTGTTTGTGGCCTGTCAAACATACACTGTACTTCTGCTTTAATTATTAAAGAAAAGAGTGCATTGACCAGAATTAAAGAATGTCCATGTTAAAAATAAAGATTAAATGCCTCTCTTCCTGAGGACGCCTGTACTGATGATACTCCTTACATGACAAGACTCCCTTTTGAGATGCCAAGGCCAGTATTGACTTGCTGTGTACATGCTGTTCTGTTTTTTTAAAACCTTGAAAGAATGTGTCCATGACTTGTTTGATGTTCTTTGTTCTGACAAGATATAAAATTGTGCTGAAAACCATGCTTCTCCAGAACAGTTCCTCAGAGTTATCTGAGAGGCTGTCTTCCAGGCTACAGTCTTCAGTTTGGCTCAAATAAAACTGTTTTCTATTCCTATTATACATTGTTGATTTTTTTTTGTCAACAAGAACTTACACGCAAATATTCGTAGCAGCTCTATCCATAATGACCCCAAACTGGAAACAAATGGCTATATATCATTGCAGCTGAATGCTACTAAATGATAAAAAGGAATGAACTACTGTTATGCCCAATAACATGAGAAACATTATACTGAGCAAAAGCAATGTGCTCAAAAGAGTACATGCTCTATGATTCCATTGATATGAAATTCTAGAAAAGCATAATTCATCTTTAGTGACAGTAAGCACAGGAGTGTCCTTTGGGGTTAGGGGTGGTAAGTATTGACTGTAATTGGGTATAAGGGAACTATTTGGGGGTGATGGAAATGTAGGTCTTGATTGTGGTAGTAATTGCATGGTGCACACATTTGTCAAGTCATCACATGATTAACTTAAAATGAGCTTATTTACTGATATATAAATTCTACCTCTATAAATTTGATTTAAAAAGAAAAAAATACATGTTGGCAATAAAAAGAGATGAAGTACTGTTACATGCTACAGCATGGATGAAACTCAAGAACATTATGCTAAGTGGAAGAAGCCAGATACCAAAGGATACGTTGTGTGATCCCACTCATGTGAAATGGTCAGGAAAGACAACTTCATAGAGACAGTAAGTAGGTTAATGGTTCCCTGGGGGTTGGGAACAGGGAGTGACTGCACCTGGGCATGAGGGATCTTTTGAGGGTGATGGAAATGTTTTAAAATCAAATTGTGATGATAGTAGCACAATATTATAAATTTACTAAAAATCATTAAGTTATACACTTAAAACAAGTGAATTTCTGATATGTAAATTATATCTCAATAAAGCTGTTTGAAAAACATAATCGACCATATGATCCAGCAATCACGCTCCTTGGTGTCTATCCAAATTAGTTGAAAACTTATGTCTGCACAAAAACCTATGCTTAGATGTTTATAGTGTGTGATTCAAAATTGCCACATCTTGGAAGCAAACAAGATGTCCCTCAGTGGGTGAACGGATAAACTGGTATATCCAGACAATGAAATGTTATTCAGCACTGAAAAGAAATGAGCTATCTGTCCATAAAAAGACATAGAGGAACCACAAACGCACATTACCAAGTGAAAGAAGGCAACCGGAAAAGGCTGCATATTGTATGATTCCAACTATCTGACATTCTGGAAAAGGCAAAGATATGGAGACAATAAAAAGATCAGTGGTTGTCAGGGATTGGGGGAGAGAGGGGAATGAGTAGGTGGATCACAGAGGATTTTTCAGGTCAGTGAAATTATTCTGTATGATACTATAATGGTGAATATATGTCATCATACATTTGTCAAAATTCAGAATGAAGAGTGAAGTCTAACGTAAACTATGGACTTGGGGTAGTAACAATGTATCTATAAAATGCAGGTTCATCGACTGTAACAAACATACCACTCTAGTGCACAATGTTGATCATGGTGGAGGCTGCATGTGTGAGAGGGCAGGGAATATATGCAAATTCTCTGTATTTTCAGCTCAATTTTGCTTTGAACTTAAAATTGCTCTGAAAAATAAACTATTTAAAACAAGAAATGAGTTATAAAGCCATGAAAAGCCATAGAAGAAACTCAAATGCCTATTACTAAGTGAAAGGAGCCAATCTGAAAAGGCTGCATATGGTATGGTTCCAACTATATAAAATTCTGGAGAAGGCAAAACTAAGAGACAGTAAAAAGATCAGTGGTTGTTGGGGGCTTTGGGGAAGGGAGGGACGGATGAATACGCAGACCACAGAGGATTTTTAGGGCAGTGAAACTATTCTGTATGCTACTATAATGGTGAAAACGTTTGTTAAAACTCATAGAAGGTACAACTCCAAGAATGAAGTTTAATGTAAACTGTGGACTTTGGATGGTAATGATGTGTCAATGCAGGTTCGTTGATTGTAAAAAATGTCCCATTGGAACTCGCTGTCCTTTCTGCTCAATTTTGCGTTGAACCTAAAACTGCTCTAGAAAAATAAAAATCTATTTAAAATTAACTGTTTAAACAAAAATAAGAACAATGTATTGTGAGGTAAAAGTTGTATTCATAACAGTAGCATAAAGTCCAGGAAGAGAGAAAATGGAAGTATATTCATATAAGGTTCTCATACTCTTTGTGAAGTGGTATAATAACACTTGAAGGGAGACTGATAAGTTATGGATGTACACTATCAACCTTTAAGCAACCACTAAAATAACAAAACAAAGAGGTATAGCTAATATGCCAACAAAGGAGATAAAATGGAATGAAAACAATATTGATTAATCCAAAAGAAGGCAGAAAAAGAGGAAAAAAAGAACAAAGAAGAGATGGGGCAAATAGAAAACAAAAAACAAGATGACATTCAAACCTAAACATATCAACAATCACGTTAAATGCAGACAGTCTAAAAATCCCAATTACGGGGGAATGATGATCAGATTTGGTAGAAAAGCAAGACCCAACCGCATGCTGCCCACAAGAAATACCTTTAAATATAAAGACACAAATAGGTTAAAAGTATGTAAAAAAAGATGTACCATGATAACATTAGTCAAAAGAAATCTGGAGAGGCTATATAAATATTGGACAAAGTAGAGTTCACAGCAAAAATACCAGAAATAAATTGGGTAATTTTATATATAGTAGTGTGTATCTGCATATCCCAAACTCCTAATTTTATCCCTCCCATCACCTTTCCCCCGCTGGTAACCATAAGTTTGTTTTCTATGTCTGTGAGTCTGTTTCTGTTTTGTAAATAAGTTCATTTGTGCTATTCTTTTAGTTCCACATACAAATGATATCATTTGTAAAAACCTATAATGATAAAGAATAAGAAAAAGAATATATGTGCATAATACACTGAATCACTATGCTGTACACCAGATACTAACACAACATTGTAAATCAACTACACTTGAATTAAAAAAAAGAGGGTAATTTCATAATGACAAAGGGGTCATTAATGAAGAGGACATAATTCTAAACGTTTGTGCACCTAATATAAGAGCTACAAAATGCATGAATCAAAAAACTGATACCCAGACGCGAGCGCTGTGCCCCGCGGTGGCGGCGCCAGTGGCGGCGGCTCTCAGCCGAGTTCTGCCTCCGTGTCCGCGCCAGCCCCGAGCCCGCGGGAGCACACGGTCCGTCCCGGCGCGGCGAGACGATGGTCATCCGCGTGTTCATCGCCTCCTCCTCGGGCTTCGTGGCGATAAAGAAGCAGCAGCAGGATGTGGTGAGATTTCTGGAAGCCAACAAGATAGAGTTTGAGGAGGTGGACATCACAATGTCAGAAGAACAGAGGAAGTGGATGTACAAAAACATCCCCCCGGAGAAGAAGCCTGCTCAGGGCAACCCTCTGCCACCTCAGATATTCAATGACGACCGATACTGTGGAGATATGACAGTTTTTTTGAATCAAAGGAAAGCAACACTGTCTTTTCATTCTTAGGCCTAAAATCACAGTTGGCATCAAAGGCAGAACCTTAGTGAAGACACGTAGAAGATGACAGAGATGCATTTCGGAGCACCCCCTGGTACTCAGCACACACCTGCTTACCTAATGCATCACTGTGACAAAAGCCACATGCATTACCAGTAACTTTGCTTGCCATGGAAAAGGTGTTTGGGGAAGACATGGGTGTAACGGGATTGCATGATTGCTTTAAACCAAATCAGGACTGTGGTGGGTTTTTTCTTATTTTCCGAATTGCCTGCAGTTGCCTCACTCCCCCAGAGGTCCTGTAGCCTGTTACCGGTGTGCTTCCTGAAGGGCTGAGAGATAAGGGGGTGGCACCATCAGAGAGAAAATGTTGG